TGCTGTTCCTTCTGCATGGAATACTCTTCCCCCACAGACATCCTCACAGCTTGCTCCCTCATTTCATTTAGGTCTTTATTCAAATATCACCTTATCAGAGATATTTTCCATCATACCTAAGTATAACAGCCCCTACCTCCTATTACGCCTCATTCTCTTATCCTGATTTATTTTTCTTCTAGTTCTTATTCCCCATCCATGTTTATTGTCTTCCTCTACTAGAATATAAGCTCCTTAAAAGGAGGGACTTTGTCTGATTTAGTGACTCCCTATAAGAGTGTTCAGCCCATGGTAAGTACTCAATAAATATGTACTGAATGAACTGTACTTTTTCGTCCCTATTTTCCTTTTTCCTAATTATTTTACCCACTGCTTCCAAAGTTATAAAATCCTCAAATAACATGTCGACTCTAGTAGGGTGTCATTCTCTCTGAAGTGCCTGGCATGTAGTAAAGTCCTCCACAGTGTTGGGCAGCCCAGCACGAAGTCATGAGCTCTGCTTAGGCTGAGAAAGGATTTCCAATGATTAGCTGGTTCTACAGAAATCAACCAAAGGGAAGATACTAAGGGGATTCTGAAGCCGTTCTAAGAGTAGAGAAGTGTTCTTTGTTTTAGGAAATTGCTCTAGTAGGCCTTTTCCTTCTAGAGCCTGGGCAGGATAGAAGAGACTGAGATAGGAGGGCAAAATTTTGCTCTCGTTCTATTATAAAAGAAATTTATATTGGTAAAAGAGGTTTTTATATATCGACGTTTTCTAGTTCCTCTGCCTGATTTAAAAACAAACAAACAAACAAACAAAAAAGTTTGAGCAGAGGCTAAAACCTAAAAAATAAAGTAGAACGGAGAGGTTAGTCTGTTCAATGTGGCAGGAAGACCAGGCTGAAGAAGAGATCAGAAAGGACTTCTAGCAAAGTTGGACGTTTCATATTCAGTTTTATTTTGTTTTAGGTTCCATGAAGAAATTTCCCACATTGACCCCACAGTGACCTTCAATCACCTCTGTGGAATCCCAGTACCCCAATAGCACAGTTTAAAAACCATGGATCTAGAACCCAAAGCAAGAAGAATCTACCTTTTAATATTCTAGACAGTTGATCATTCAGCCTGACTTTGAATGATCATTACCTGCTAAGCAGCATGTCCCTGAGCCAGCTGTCATTGGTGTTCTTTCTCTTGAGCCAAATTCCTCAACCTTGGGACTTCTACTCACTGGTCCTAGTGGAAAAATCAAAATTACCCTAATTCCTTCCACATAACAGCTCTTCAAATCTTTGAAGGCCTTTTATATCCTTCCCTAAGTTGTCTCTGTTCCAAGTCAAACATGCTTAATACTCTAACTATTCTCAAGCTACTCTTACAGCTAATGTGCTATTTAGGAATCTGAAACTACTGATCCAATTGGAAAAACAACAACAAAACTCAGCATAGGAAGTGAGTTCATTTAAGACTAAAACAAGTTTAAAAAGAGGGGCACAGCCACATACACTTTGAGGGTAGTAAAAGAAAATGAGAGGTATTGATCTCCAACTCTGAAACCAGTCCAGAAAAGTGTTCCCTCCTGAGCACTATGAAGGAGGATAGAAATCAGGTCCAACTTTGTTCAGCTGAGGGATGTACTTGGGATCATTCCTTAGCAGTTACCAAATCAGAGACATGGGGGGATGGCTATTGGTAGTAGAGGCACTCAGTTCTTTCTATTATTATTCTTAACATCCCTAGCAGCTGAGTTCAAGAATGCAAGACAGTAAGTGCCTAGCATGGATTCATTGCTGCAAGTCTTAATTGACCACATGCTATCCACAGAGCTACTGACCCTTACCTAGTGTCATGGAATCTACTAATTAAAAATGTGACATTCTGTAACCATGGATCCATCAGTTGTTTTGAAGCAGGATTATCAGTCTGTGAGTATTATTTCCTAATAATCATCGAATTTATGATTTGCATTGGTTTTGGTGGAGCCTGTGGGATGCCTCCCACAGAAGAGCTGAGTTTCACAGGTTAGGGCTACTTGCATAGCTAGAAAGTTTGTGTGACCAGCACACTACAAGAGCCCCAGCACTCCCACTACCAGAAACAAAACTTGGGCTTCCTGGTACCAAGGAGCTTCACATGCACAGTGGTGGTGGTTTGAGGCCTGGAAACAACGTGCTTACCATGCAACCCAAAGGTGGAAGGACGAAGAAGCCTTTATTTGCAATATCAGGATCCCTTTCAATGTATATCCTTCTTCTGTATGGCTGTACTGTCTCTTTTGCCTGTGATGAAGCTCTTCCATGAGTATAAACTGTTTGAGTCCTGTTCTTTCAGCAATTGAGCTTGAAATGATTAATAGATAATTAGTACAGTAAGGATGAGAAAGGACTTCAGATACAAGCCACTCTGAGGCCTGAAGGATGCTGCTGATGGGAGGGTGTTAGTATTCGGTGCTTAAAGCACACAGTTTTATAAGTGGATGTGATGAACTATGATACTTCAGTTCTGTTGGATGTCATAGGAGCACCTCTGGAACAACCACAGGGATGTTTTGGTTTGCTCCAATAGAAATGTATTTCTACCTTTGAAAAAGAATATATCCATCCAGAGTTGCCGCGTGTGTATGCTAACAGAGAAGGATCACAGTGTTAATCCTCATTTCTCTTTCTTTTTCCCACAAACTCCTTTATCTTGCCCTTATACCTCTTAGAAGCAGCCTTGTAGTTTCGTGTATGAAAATAATTTCTCCAGAAATAGAATGTTGTAGACTCTTTTGAAACCTAATTAAGGTCATTGGTATTGAAGAAAATATCAAAGGTAATTTCATGACAACATCAACAATAACACAGAGACTTGGGAAGGAAGTCAGTTCAGGAGGGGAATGTGTATGTATGAACGTACACACAAATACGTGTGTGTGAGTATATATGCATACATACACACACATGTAATTTTCACACACCACGTTTATGTGGAAAATGATCTGTAATACAAAATGAAACTAAATATAATCATTTTATTCTCCTAGCTCTGGAGCTGAGCTGTATCTAAATCCATGCTCTGCCACTAGTTGGTTGTGATTGTGAATAAGTTATTTAACTGCTCTGAGACTTGTTTCCTCATCTATAAAATGCCAACAATTTTTACTGTACAAGGTCCTCATAAAAATTAAAAGAAATAATGCATGTGCTATACATGTCATTAAACTAATAAACACTACTGACAGATTTCCAGAGGAGCAATGTCGACCAAAATTTGTTGACTTCCTTTCCTCTCTCTGAGGGTCTGTGTTGTGTGAAGAGAAAAGACAAGAAGAAAAAACATGGCCTCAGAGAAGGAGAGCCAAGGAGGAGAGAATTGCTTGAGCATAAGGGGAAATAGCATTAACTTTACTTATCTGTAATGGAGTAATCCCCTAGGAACCAGACAGGAAATCTCCTCTCAGTCAACAGACACAGGCAGCTAAAACACGGATCTCTTGACACCAGAGTCCTACCTTCCAACATCCACTTGCCATGGAGTCAGAGGCAGGAGGGCTAATCATCAGGAATGTGGTAGCGGTTGGCCTTAAAGGATCTCTGGAGTCCCTTGCCAGGATGTTTTATAAACTACAAAATGCTGTGCCATTTCATGTGCTTATTTAATCTGATTTTTACAAGTATCCTGAGAAAAGCCGTGACTAAACAATCTGAGTTGTCCAAAGCCATGATCTAGCAAGGGCTGAATCACAATTCCAACCTAATTCTTCTCATTATCGTGGCTTTCTCCTTAATACCAGAGAGCTGCTTCCAACCTGATGGCAGATGCTGCTGGTGCCCTGACCCATTTCCCCCCACCTCACTTGAGTACACCAGCAACTGCATTAGACAGTTGTCAGTATGCTGACAAGTCTTGCGTTAGGCACCTGCATTTCTCAATTCCTTAGAGGGCTTTCTTAGGACCATGGGAGCTTGCAAGGGACATAACTTGGAAAGGTGGGAGATGGGAGTTTAATGCCCCCCGGGACAATGCTCAACCAATAGGCCGCCTTTAAGCCAGCCTCCAGTTTCCAAAGATGCCCCCAGCACAGTGAGCCCCAGGGGCTCACAGTGATGATAACCACTCATGGGACATGTCCTTTCCTGGCTCTTTTCCCTTCCTGTCTCACTTCCCCCACTTCCTCACGTGTGCTTCCCGGGATCACCTTCTATGTAAATAGCCAGCACTAAATCTTTCCCCTCCAGGTCTACTTTTGGAGGAATCCAAACTGAGACAAATTCCAAAATTCGTGTGGTTGCTGCCGATGATATTGTTTTTAATCATACCATATTCCCACCAAAAAAAAAAAAAAAGTAATAATGACCTTTGGTTACTGACCAGTTAGAACCTGATAACATTTTTAAGTCTTGAAAAAAGTGAAGATAACATTTCTGACAACGCAGCAAGTTATTTCTCCTATTTCACTAAGTATCTGTCTTGCCAGCAGTTGTCCTAATTTCAAAGCAGGGTATCATGGCTTTAAAGGAGCTCCACTAACGCAGTTACACTCCAGCTTGGATTTTCTAGCTATTGACCAATAGATTTTAGAACATATCCCAAAAAAGGATATTATTTTAGAACATATCCCAAAAGTAGGATATTATTTCTCTATTCAAGAAAACAAATAACTGAATTCATAATGTTAAAATCTATAAATACGACCCAAGTATTTATCTTATAGAAAATAAGAGCAATCATCTCAACATGCATTCTAGATTTATCAATTTTGCACACATATTTTAGGAAGATTTTGAGAGATTTCAATACAGTATCAAAAAATGACCAACCACTTTATTTTAGCAAAGGGAGATTGGGCAGTCGACTGTAACCGTGGGCCAAAAGTGTTTGGATTTTAAAACATATATATAAAATTCTCACATGAAAATTAGTAGTATCACAACCCACTGAAGTATGCTGGTTATTTACTCTGCAATTTGTCCTGATTCAGATATGCCAGACTGATAAGTTATAGGTAATAAGTTCATATAACATGTTTAGTTTTATAAACTCTAACCATTTATTTAACAAGATGGAAATTTCTAATATCTAGCACTTTTCTACATTTAAAATTTCAGGGGAAAGAGATGCATGTTCTACAGTATGCATTATTACAAAAGAGTTCGTTATTAACTTAGAATGGTTAAAACATTTTTTTTAATGATTAGGATTCATTATCCTTTAGTGAAGCAAGGCAACATTTTTCTTGTGAAAAAAGTCTGCATTTCTTGTCAGAGGAGATATATTACTAGCACAATCTTCCCTCTTCACTGGGACCTGTCCATCCAAGGATTTCTTTTACTAATAAAACAGGTGGAAGTCCATTTCTCTATTTGGGTTCCCAAGACAGATACATATCCTTTTAATTTAGAGAAGAACTCAAACATATATAAACCAAAGGTGAAGGTGGTTGTTTCCATCCACTTTACTCGCATGCTGCTCTAGAAAGACAAGGTTTTCTTGGTGGTTGTGCTCATGTGCTGATCACTGTGCCTGTAGCTACCATTAGTGTGAATGTGTAGGAGGCATTCTGAATAACGTACGGCACCCAAAGGAAAGAACAACGGACCCCACAATTTGAATTATTGCTCTTTCAAATTCTGAAAGCCGATAATCACTTGTGCCGTGCAGACTCCGGGGGCTCTATCCCCAGGTGCAAAGTACACTTTCCAGGTTTCTCCAGCGCAAAGGCAGGGTGCACACCCTCATTAAACCTGTGCCTGATGATGAAGAGCAACTGCCCACTTTCGGCATTTATAAATAGAAGCCTCTGGTGGCTGTAGTCTAGCAGAATGCCCACTCTGGCGGGATGCTCGGTCACATGGACATCGCTCACGATGCCGCTGTAGAAAAACGTGTATCTGAAATGGAACGGAATAGGAAATTAAAAACTTTGGAAATCTTGAAGGACCACTATAACGAAAACCATTTGGAGATAATAACCAATTTTTCAGTTATTAACTTCAAGTCACTACGAGTTGCAATAATGTTGTCCTTCATACTTTAACCAGACCCTTCCCAGAGGCTAAAATGTGTAGCTCATCCCGAAAGATGAGCAGTTTTAATAATTTTGCTCCTTCTACATTAAGAATCAATCCCATTGTGATTTTTCTCAACATTCTAATTCTTTCCCAGCTGCCCACATGTTTTAAGTACCGCATTTATGGTGTGTCACTCTTTTGAATAAAACTCCTTTGAGGCTGCCATGTATTTTTAAAAGTACTGCAGGCTTGCCTTCCTTAAAATGTATTAATTTTACAGTTTAAAGATTTATAATAACTTATATAAAGGCTTTTATAAAGTTTAAGAAATATTTTACTATTTTTGCCCAACTTCAGCCTTTGTATAAGCTCCTCGTATCCCAAACCAACTTTCCTTTTCATCTTCTAAATGCTTTTGCAGCCTTGTGGCTAAAGGGATTGCCTTTGACTTATCTTTTCAATTCAAATAAATTCAATTTAACAAATATTCATAAGACATATCTGTGTGTCCAGCACTTTACTAGGCCCTTTGGGGGTATATATATATATACCAGAGTATATATATATATACTATTCTTGTCCCCCAGGAACACGTACTCTATTGAGCAGGAAAGTAAAAATTGTCGATGACTTAAACAGGGGCTAGAGCTGAGACTCCAGCTCAGGGCACAGATTGGTAAAGTATTGACTAAACGCATTTAATGGACCTATTTTTAGTTGTGAGAAGAAAGGGTCAAGGCCAGTCTAGGATGGAGAAATTGCTCAACAGAAGCAGCTAAATAGCTTTGTAAAAAAAAAAAAAATGATAACATGTTATGAGTTTTCTGTAAGTATGAGAAATGGAAGGTGGGGTTGTGAAAGCGGGGGAAGGAAAGATATGAAGGATGGAAGAGAAGACAGATGAGGGAAAATTCTTGGGTTATAGTAGGTCTGATGGGTGGGAGAGACCCTAGGGCAGACTGGAGGTTCTAGAACCTAGATAAGTGACTCTAACACAGCAGAGAAGACCAAGGACCTTTAAGACCTGTGATGTCTCTTAAAGGCCCAGAAACTTGAGTGCATGTATATTTGGGAAATGGCAATTTGGCAACTTCATGGCAGCATGAAGCTCACATGAAAGGGCAGAGGTCCATGAGAATGAGATAAGACTTAATGTGGTGATAAAGGACCTTTCCAATGCCTTGCTAATGAGAGATGTGACATAATATTATGAAGTTCTAGAATCTGTAGAGCAGGCAAAGGTTGCAGGTGGCAGTGATGGGGAGTAGCTGGGGCTCCTACAGAATGCTTGGGGAGCAGATGGGCTCATACTCAGACTAAAAAGAAGGTCAGGCTGGATAGGTGGACAAGACGGAGACAGAGATCCAAGCTGCGGGGGCAGAAGCAGCAATGATGAGGTGGCAGAACAAGCCTGTACGTCATGGAGAACATCACCATCTGCCTGAGAGGTTTGAAAGGGACATGTAAATGGCTCTGAGGATATTACATGGATAGGTAAGTCAGGGGCCAAGAACTAGACCTGCCCTGTTCAATACAGCAATCACTAGCCACGTGTGGGCACTTAAAATAAATAAAAATTAAATAAAATTCAAAATCCAGTTCTTCAGTCCTACTAATCATATTTCAAGTGTTCGATAGTCACATGTGATATCATTTTTAAAAAGTTTTGCAAAATGTTCTTTTGCACAGTACTGGTCTAGAGGATTCTGAATGCCCAAATGAGCCATATCCTTACCCCTGCGTGGCAGGCCCCTGGTGCCTGGAGGCCCAGCCCCAGTCAGTCCCTCCCCACCATGGAGGCCAAGGATGGACAGACATTCTTGAAGCCTTGTCTCCACCAGCTCTGCAGGGCCTGGAATCTTTCCTGCCCTGAATCTGCCTCTGTTTCCTCATGAGCACATCAGTTTCTTCTCCGACCTGAACTCCGACATGAAACCAAGCCTGGGGCCTGAAGCCCTACCCAGCTTCCGCTTGTTCCTCCTCGGGATTGCTGGTCCCCATTCAAACAGGGATCATCCAGAAGCCTGACTCTAGACACTTGTGTAACCCTGCGCTAAGACCCTCATCCCAAGTTGCCGCCCCCACCACCACCCTGTGAATCTCACTGCTAACCCAGACTGAGCCTGAACCCTTTTTCAACCCTGGTGGCTACTCCCCTCAAGGCCCCTCATTGCTCAGCCTATTCACATCCTTTCTGACTTCTCATCTTTGCTGTGATCCCACCTGAGTTCTGATACCACTGCAGATGTTTGTAGATTTTTGAGCAGAAAAGGATGGGACATGGTATAAACAATGTTTTAGAAATAGTTGCCAGTTTTGACACATAGGATAGCTTGGAGTGAGTGGAGAATAGAAGGTACAAGCATGTTGGCTGTGGATGAAACTGGTAAAGGAGGTGTGGAAGCCTTGAACTGGGATGGGAAGGTTAGGAATGGACGGGAAGAAATTCAGTTGATTCTTTCTTCTCAGACTCTCTTCATTTCTCCTTTCAATTGTGACATCTTAAAGCTTGGATTCTATGCAAGTAGAATCAAGATTAATACTGCTTGGTTTAAAATCATGAAGCCAGAAAAAGTGAAAAACACAGGAGGGTCTGTTACAGCAGTTCTCTCAGTGTCCTAAAGGCCAGGGGTGCTGTATTTGAAACATGAAATGAAGGTCCCTGAGACCTGACCTCACTGTGACCACACAGGTAGGTACATTCTTCTTCCCAGAATTTATTGAACCTACTCTGGGCCTGAAAGAGCCAAAGACCAAAGTCGTTGAAACTGTTGAACAAAACATACAATTCTGTTTTATAAAGTCTAGATTTGTCATTGGAGGCTAGTCTTTGGTTTGTGTTTTTAAGAGTTCAAGTGTCCAAGGAAATCTTCATGAACTCAATATACAGTTTCAGCTCTAAATCTACTAATTATAAACTCCAGATTTGAGTGATTTTCAACTCTGGGCAGGGGTTGGGTCTTTAAACACTGCACAGTGCTGAATATCAATTAATCATAATTGCTCTGACTTGATGAAATGTGACTTTAAATAGCTCTTGGAGATGGTGTCCTTATGAACCATGTCAGAGAATCAAACTGTCAAGTAGGATGCAGCAAGAAGAGTGTAGCCCGAGATATGCAAAATCCCAATCTGTGGGCCTTTCTCTGGGAATCTGCAAGCACTGAAGGCTTCCTTTTTAAAGCATGACATTTGAATAATGTCTCACATTGTATGATACTTTACAATTTCAAAGCTCTTCCCCGTACCTGATTTCATGTGATCCTCACAACCCTAAAAAGCAGCAGACCTGGCATCACTGCCCCTTGACAAGACAGATGAGACATCTCAAGTGTGCTCAAAGAGGTTACCAACTTCTGTTAAGTAGCCAATAGGAGGGTGAAGCCAGGGCTGAAATCGGGTTTCTGGCTCCTAGCCCAGTGCTTTTTTATGAGACCATCCTGTGAACATATTCAGATCATGACATGGTTGTCCTTAACTCTCTGAGACTAACAGGTTAATGGCTTTTTCACATCAACCAACTAAACAATACCAATAATATAGAACAGAGGTTAGCAAATTTTGTCTGTGATGGGCCAGATGGTAAATATCTTAGGCTTTGGGGGCCATTCAGTCTGTGTTACAACTAGTCAACTTTGCCATTGTAGCAGAAAAGCAGCCATAGACAAAATCTAAATAAATGAGCATGACTGTGTTCTAATAAAACTTTATTTACAAAAAAGGCAGTAGGTCATATTTGGCCTGTGGGCTATAGTTTGTCAACCCATCATATAGACCAGTGGGGGGAGGAGTTGGGGACTCACCTCTTCCTCACTCCTGTTGACTCCTCCTTCTCTGAGGAGGGAACTCTTCTAACATTACACTTGTGGTCTCTCCCCACTCTGGGATGAGTTTAGAAGAAAAAACTGGCCATGTATGGCCCGAAAGTCCCATCTTCTTCCCCATCTCTTGGCTATGAGATTCTCAAGGAGATACGCATTCTTCCCTATTTCTCCAGGGACCAACTCTGCCTTGCAGGGCAGGGAAGCTGGCCTGGCCAAGGCTTTGGGTAGCTGTAAGTCTGTCTATTAATAGGACTCAATATAAAAAACCTTGTTCTCAGGTATGAACCACCTTCTCTAAATAAATCTGTTTCCTCAGTAATCAGAAAAATGGTTTAGTCTCCACTTACTTGACTCTCTTGTTTTCCTTCTTAGTTGGCTCAGTACTCAGGCAGAGAAAGGGGATGCCATTTATTAGGCCCTCAGAGATTTCTGCCTAGACATCAACTCAAGAGACTTTGATAAAGAGGGGACAGGCAGGGCTCCAACTTACCTCTGTGGCTCAGAGCAGTGCATATACCATGATGTCTCCCCTTGTCCCAGGGCACCGGCCTGCACAGCTGAGCTGGAGCAGATGCCAAGTCGATAAGCTGGGCAGTCTGTGACTGTGGTTTCCCAGTAATGCTGGCCACAAGCAGGCAGCTCCTCACCCAGCACCGATGGGATTCTGTAGGAAAAGTTGATGAGGATTTGCCAGACTTTAGCTCATAAACATCAACATTCACAAACTTACACATGGTTTATTTTAGGCAGGATTTTATCCTTGGAAACTGCTGGAATTTGACTAAAGACCTTCATTGTTCATTGTGCCCCCAACTTTGACCTGATTACTACAGAATTCCCTAAACCCTCAATATGCATTTGACATATTTCCACTGCCACATATACAACATACAAGTACTGCATACTGCATCTCTTGAAGGAGCTGGGAACCAGGAAATAACTAGAATAATGGTAGGACAAAAAGAAATAGCATAATTGCTGCTTTCAAAGCGAGTGAGAAAATACCAGCAAAGCAGGTGGGGAGTTCCAAGAGAACATAACTTGCAAAGTTTTCTTCCAAAATTTGCAAAAAAGAGTCTCCAAAACCTATTTTAACAATGACTTCCAGTGTCTGATGACTTAATTGAGCACAGAGACCAATGAGGTGCTGCTCTTGAATGGCAAGATGGTTGGTGAGGCCAGAGCAGAGGGGAGTGTGGAATTAACTATGTGTGATGAGTGTGCTTTGCAGAGTCTTGTGGTCAACAGTCTTTGGGACGCTGGCCTCTTTGGACTGCAGTAGGTGCGCCTGAGAGGTTGTTGAAAGGTCTCTTTCTGTTTCGCCTTAGTTATTTTTATAATAGGCAAGAGAAATGAACCAAAGCACTTGCAACTGCTGATGGGTAACCTTGTTTTCATGAATTGCTCTGTTTTGCTTTGAAATAGCTGAGACAGCAAAAAAGCATTTTTAATTTAAGCAGCGTTAATATTCAATCAGCACCCTTTCCCTTTCCCCTTTAAGATGAGAAAATGATTAATGCAAGGGGATGTGTTTCATTTTCTCATGTCTTTACCCAACAACCTCATTTCAGAGAGGTGGCTACGGACAGGACCTTGCTCCTTGGAGCAAAGCCATCTGCTTAATATCTATGAGCTAATTTTTTCGTTAATAATAAATAAAATTCTATAAAATACATTACAGTTATCATCAGTTATTATGCAGTTATTATGTATGAACTCATACCAACCAGCCTATTTCTTTTCTTTTTGATTTTTGGAGAAATTCAAAACAGTCAGAAAGGCCCAATCTATTCGATTTATTTCTTAAATCTACCCCCCGCTGAATTCATTCAATCTGTATATCTTTAGCATCTGCAGTGTCCTAGGCCCCATGCTGGATTCTGGGGATTCAAAGATACAGAAGATAGGGCTGCTGCTTAAGGATTCCTCAAGATCGAGTAGCTGAAAAATGACTTCATACGTGCTCAGACCTTTATATAGATAAGATCAAAGGCGGCTAGGGCCAGAGAAGGCTTGGCTGTTTCCAAGAACAGGTACCGCCTGAACTGGGCCAGACACATGCGAATAGCAACCTCAGAGGAAAACAGTGCAAGTCATTGTTGGTCAGCTCAGTGCTTTATTGTATGAGCTTTCTGGCAGCCCACACCAGGGCCCATCAGTGCCAACAGCAGCCTGTGTTTCACAGGAGTTACAGTTTTTAAAGCCTTTCACGTATTTTCTTCCATTTGACCATTTTGACCCTCAAAATAATCATGAGAGATTGCAGACAAATTGCGGAGCAGTCTCCCCACTGTGCCCTCAGCTTTTGGCTCTTCTTGACTTTGATGCTTCTTTCTGTGGTTGCTATGGAGGGTAGGGTATGGGCAAGAAAGTCTGAAAGTCCTACATGTGGCCAAAGCCAGAAACTCAACAAAATGTCATTCTCTTCTAGTCTTCAAGTGGATGCAAAAATCTGGTTTGCTATTGAAAATAACGCAAGAGTTCACCTGGATTATTTTTCATTAAACCAGAGATAATACCTTAAAACTGCCTATGTTTTAAATAAACCATCTGTGCTTATATTTCCAATGAAAATACTGACACTTGCTCCAAGTTATAAACTATCTCTGTCAATTTTCCCCTAGTAATGAACCATAACCAAACTGTATGGTCGTGCACACACTTATATTCAATATCACATATCCAGGCATGGTCATTAAATGAAAAATATGCACTGTGAGGCCACACTAAGATAACACACCCTCAGAATACTCTATTGCAGAGGCATCCAGTACTTTCTTCTTCTACTTACTCTGTCAGCCGTCTTCTCTCAGCAAAGCTGATCACTGTCCCATTTGAAGAAATTTGCAGAGCAGGATGAGCTGTTTCTCTCAACAAGAGAAATCTGGTTCCTATTGCAGTTAAGAAAATAGGATTATAACATTGCCACGATGTCAAGTACTGTCCCTAGGCCAAGTCCCATATTTCAGATGTTAGTCTCCCTTGACCCTGACATCAAAATCCTCCACTCAGTGTTTTCAGATCCACAGTAAAAATTTCATAAGGCATTAGTGAATGCCAGTGCCTTTACTGGTACACCTCCTGTACCAGAGCTCGCTATGCTATGCAAAGTATGCTCCTTGCACCAGCAGCATCTACATCACCTGAAAATTAGTTAGAAATGCAGATCCCTGGGCCCCACCCCAGACCTACTGAATCAGAATCTGTATTTTAACAAGATCTCAGAAGATTCATGTGCACATTAAAGTTTGAAGATGCACTAGTATAACCTAAAGGAGTGGTTCTAACAATGGAAGGTAGAAGCACCATATTGGGACTGCAGGGAAAACATTTCTAGGCAGGCAGCCCTCATGTCTTCTCTTTATAAAAATCAGGCTGTCCCTAACTATATCATAAACAAGGCACATACACAAATCTTTGCTGGTTTAGCAAATCACTTTATGTGCCACCCTCAATTTTTTGGCATCCTTGGGTCTAGGATAAAATAATAAAATGATAGCCTTTCCATTCCTCAGTTCTTTTCACAATAATTGAGGAGAGCCAAACATTTTTTTGGTGGCATCATCTGGGTATTTTCTCCAAAATGTCATTGAACAGTTTTATCACCTCCTTGAGTTATTCATTCACTCGACAAACGTTAATTGGCACAACAACGTGGTAAACACAAACAAACACAAAAATAAGACTGGAAGCTTGTTCATAAAGTTCACAATGTAATAAAATAAGAATACTCCCATCCCACACAGACTCAAAACATATCCACAAATTATAACATATTGTGAGGCAAACAAGAATTGTCTGGAGAGGTTAAAAATACACATCAGAGCCCATCTTCAGATCAATTAGATCAGGAGCTCCAGGATCCTGGGCACCAGTATTTTTTAAGTACCCTGACAGACTGCTAATGGGTAGCCAAGGGTGAGAACCTCTAAACCAGAAAAATAAAAGAAACATCTTGACCTCTGCCCATTCTTGGGTCTTCATGCCAGCAGTTTGGAGCCTTTAAGAAGTTGTCTTTGAGGATGTCTTCTCTGGATAGTGGAAGGGAAGGAATGGGAATGCTTAGGATACTTCAGTGAGTACAAAGGAGAAAGTACCTCTGGTGGAAATGAGGGCAGCTTCGCTCTGTTCGCTTGTCCCAAAAGCATTGATGGCTCTCACGTAGAAAAAGTAATTATCATTGGGCTGGAGGTTAACTTTCAGCTGAAGTCCTTTAATTCCAGAGAAAGATCTAAATACAAAGGAAGAATAATTTTAAATATCATGACACTGCTAAATGACTCATCTTATTTCAATCCTACGTGAATGAACATCTTTTATTAGTAAAAAATAACTCATTTTTTCCCTTTATGACCACCAGAGTTAGCAACAAGATTCTACAAGATGTTCATTGTCCACTAAGATTAATTTTTCAAATCATTTCTACCTTCGTCAACTTTTGCCCAATATATGGCTTCCAGAATGCTCTTTGAAATAAAACGAGACAAACTTTTCTTCTTTAATTCAGAAAACAGACAATCGGTTTATAATATATAAAGAATATATTATTTTATTTATCAATTTCTGGCACAGAGGGCACTTTTGGATGAAAATGATGTTAAAACAATCTATAACACAAAGGACGCTAATTGTCTCATTAACAGATCTGAACAGTGGAAAACTTAAGGTGAATGATAGCTTTGTACGTGGTCATCATGTCAAAGTTATAGAAACCAAAAATCACTAAAGAAGACAATATCTTTTAAGGCAAGTTTAATCCTGACAAAAAAGAAGAGAATTCTAATTGCCAAATAAAATCCCCAGAGTACTCTTCCTAAATCTCCCATTTACATTAAAAGAAAACTGCTGGTAGTGGTATCTAACTGGCAGCAGGTTTGGCAAGTACATGGTAACAGCCCAACCATTTACACACTAATGGACTTGCTGGATTTGAGGATGGAGCTCTCTGGAGTTGCCAGCCAGTTGGAATATTTTGTACCTCTTTTTCTCTTTTTTCTGTTTTCTCTTTAATCTGTTTGATGTCATGGCCTAGAGCATCTATACAAATAAAGTATACAAATGGTCTCCTTTTTGGCCTCCATTTGGAGAAGCTTTGGAGAGAGTTACAAGTTAGGCTCCTTCCTAATGTACATATTTCTAACCCAAGCGCTAAAGAGCCAGGGTCCTGCTCCCAGGAGATGTGCACTGACAACAGTAGTTCAAGAGCCTCCATGTTTGTTCTCAGATGGATAGTGTTTTATATCTGTTTTGCTGCTAATGAATGTACCAGAAAAAAAATTTGAATCAAAGAACGGCCACTGTTCATCTGCAGATGGATTTTTTTTTCAGATTATTTGTACTTTTGATTTATCTCACTTCTCACTACCTACCTTAGAGAATAAAATGAAGAACCAGGAAATGGAAAAAGCATCATTGACTCAGAAAACAAATGAATTTAGAAGGTTTTAAAAGCATAAAATTTGTACAAAATAACAATCCCCCCCACCCCACCCCTGGCCCCAATTTCTAAAAGCACAAAAACTCCCAGTGTGTTCCTCAGAAGGAAATGGGAGGGGAGGAGGGCAGCCTAGGTCTATTTGTGTATCTGCTATGTAGTGTCTGTGTCTGGAAAAGGTCAGCGTAAACCCCTCCAACGTTACTGGTTGTTATTTCAGAATCTACCACCTGACCAGGACCTCAGAGAGTACTATCTTTAGATGTGCTGAGAATGGACAGATACAATTAAGCCACATGTTCACTGACAACTATAGATACTTCAGTTAATTAATGAAAAATATGTCCTATGACTGAAAATGTGATTCTTGACTAATATCTAGAATATTATTCTGGGGTAGATGTATTGCTTATTTTGAATTGATAACTAAATAAATGTTTTAAATTTACATTAATTATAATATGTTTTAATTATTATGATATAATATAATATAATTATGATAAAATTACTGTCTCAATAAGCACACTCCAGTCTGAACTGAATTTCAGACTTCATTCACTCATTAAATAAATACTTATTGATCACTTATCATGTGTTCAGATACTATCTCTGCTGGAGGGGGAAGTGGCAGGGATAAGTGAGGAAATTTCATCTCTAGAAACTGGATAGAACATACTGACTTTATTTTGTAACAATGCAGTTATTAAATGCCAAAGATGCCGTTTTTCGGGGTAAGTGTTTGCCCTTAAGTTTTATGAAGTCTGTCAAGGAGAAAATTCCATATATATACTCAACCGCATGCTATGTTTTATCACTCATTTAAAGAATAAAGTTTTACAAGGTACCAAAGCCAAAACATGAGATCAGATCCCCGCTTTCAGTGCGTGAACAGGTCGTGCAGACTTGAAAAATATGTACAATGCCCTCACCGAATCTGTGAAATAAAAGCACCAGGCATGAAAACAAAAGTAATATGAAATGTGGTGGTGTTTTATTGTTTACAAATTGCCATTTTATGCACAAGAACCAAGAACAAAGAAAAAAACATCAGATTCAAATGGTTCATTTCCATAACTATTCTGCCTGACCTCACTTAAATGTCACAAAAGTCTTCACGTCAGCCATCCCTGTTTTTTAGACAAATGAAAACTTCAAAAAAATTTGGAATTTGAAATCTAAAGAGTGGCATCCTTCCATAGATTATAATTTTTTATTTCAAAAACAAAAACTCATCATAATTGCAACTGAATCCACATGACTTATAATGAGCTTTGGAGCTTTCAGTAGAATTCAAATTCACAGAATATCCAAAGTGAGGTAAGTGATTAGACAGAGAATGAAATCAAATGCAACCAAGTTGTTGGAGCTGAGGTAAGAAGGGATTTTTAGTCTTATCAATAATATGACCAATCAATGTTAGAAGTCTAGAACCAATAATAAAATTCAAAAGACAATAAGAAAAATGAATCAAAAAGTCTCATTTTGGGTAATAAGTATGGGATTCTTCCTATAAATGCCATAGTGCAGTGGAAAGAGATGACTTTATATGTGTAGTTTATAGGAATGTGAGGGCAAGGAAGCATCTAGAAACCCTGACACATCAGCCAATTAGCTGATGGCTGGTGGAGCATAAGCATATCATAGAGTACAGTCATAGAGTTCGTGCCCAGTAGGCCTTCAAACGACTCTCAACCTACTTATCTCTCCACTGATAGGACAAAGGACGTTTGTTAAACTTCAATGGTGTGAAGCAGAGAGGAATGATTTAATGGAGACTTACTGTTTCCTCAGAAGTCTGAAGGGCTGCATTGTGAATGAGAATGGTCTTCTCTTCTGGTTTTTTCAGAGGGCAAACAACTGAAGCCACTAAAATGCTGATGTCTGCCTAATATAATGAAGGCCTTTCTAAACTGAGTCCTTTCATTCTTTAGTTTTTGCAAGGAATGATTGAAAAGTTTGCCGCAACTAACCATGGACAATGGAGCAAGAATCATTTTAAAGGGAAACTGAAACATATCTTTATGAAGTAAAGAACCATTAGGGGCCTAATGTGCAAATACTAAAAACATTCCCATTAAGTCAGAGAGACAGACATGTGGTTAAAAAAAATTGGGAGGTAGGAGGTAAAATTGTTGCCATATGCAGATGATATGACTGTTTATCTAAAAAATTCAAGAAAATCACCTGAAAAACTCTGACATAATAAGAAAATTCAGTAAGATGGCTAGGAGTGAAACTAACATAAGAAATCAAAAGGCTTCACATATTAATAACAACCAGATAAAAAAAATAATACAAAAGAATAACCTTATTTAAATAGTGGTACCACGAAAAGGCCTTGATAGCCAAAGCAATTTTGAGAAAGAAGAACAGAGTTGGAGGTATCACACTCCTGGATTTCACACTATACTACAAAGCTGTAGTAATCAAAACAGTATGGTACTGGCACCAAAAAAAGACATAAATCAATGGAACAGAATAGAGGGCCTAGAAAAAAATCCACACCTATATGGTCAATTAATCTACAATAACGAAGGCACAGGAATACACGAGAAAAAGACAGTCTCTTCAATAAATGGTGTTGAAGAAACTGGACATATGCATGCAAAAAATAAAACTGGACAACTTTCGTACACCATATACAAAAATAAACTCAAAACGGAATAAAGACTTAAGTTTAAGACTTGAAACCATAAAACTCCTATAAGAAAACATGGGCAGCAAACTCTACGACATTGGTCTTAGCAATATTTTGCAGGGGATATAGCTACTTGGGCAAGGGCAACAAAAACAAAACTAAACAAAATCAAGGGATTACATTAAACTAAAAAGCTTTTGCACAGCAAAGGAAACCATCAACAAAACAAAAAGACAACTTACTGAAGAGAGAAGATATTTGCAAATAATATACCTGATAAGGAATTAATATCCCAAATATATAAAGAAGTCATACAAGAAAACATTTAAAAAATCCAATTAAAAAATGGACAGAGGGCACTGGCTGCATTCTCCTCCTAGATAGGGTAAGCTTCCTCTGTGCCCTTCCAGCACCTGCCTTGTGTGCAACACCCAATGTGAAAGCCCAAAACAAACCAGCCTATTTGTGTCTGTCCTTCTGGTGAGTGGTCTCGGTTTCCTTATGAAACTTAGAGGGTAAATTAGGCCAGTGCTTCTAAAACTTTAATGTGTTAATCACCAGGAGATCTTTCAAAATACAGATTCTGATTCTGCAGGCCTAGAGTGGGGCTAGAGTCCGCATTTCTAACAAGCCCCAAAGTGATGCCCAAACTGCTGGCCTGGTAATGAACTTGAGTTGCAGTGGCAAAAGAGTTTGATTTTCTGAATACTAAGGGAATTTAAAGACTTTACAGCCTGGCCAAGTTGGTGGTTTCTCTTCAACATGTCTACCTAATCATTAACTTCCTGACTGAGTAAGGAGTAAGATGTTCACTGCCTCCTAACTGCCCACTCCAGTATTACAGCTCTGGTAATTTTTACATTATGTGAAGTACAACACTGTAGTTTATAGTGTAAAATAGTGGTCAAGTCCTCAGGCTTTGGAATGATACAGCTTAGATTCTGGCTATGTAACTTTAGGAAGGTTATCTAAACTCATCCCCTCCCTGTTCCATGAACTGAGGATAATAAAAGTATCTATTTCACAGGTATTTTGTGTAGAGGAAATGGGATCACTTATTTGAAACATTTAGTGTTATGCCTGACCCATATGAAAAGCACTATAAAAGTTGGCTGTCTGTTAATTTTAGCATTAGTATTGAATTCAGAGCATGAAAACA